TGCTGTTGAGATATATTTTAGAAAAAGTATCACTGCGTATCAAACAACATTGGGCCCAGAGGGTTATGAAACACTGACGACCATTGAAGACTTTTGTAAATGGCTTATCGAAAATGGGGGAAAACAGGTAAATATCATCGATTCATAAATCTAATTGCTAGATTGTTTATTAGATCAGGACATCTTTTTCATCTCATAATTCAGAAATTGGAGCTCAGAGACGGTTCAGGTAAAGCCAGCGATAAAAATAGGGCTGCTGCCACTTGCAATATTAGTGAAAAAAGAAAAAAGTATTTTCCTTGTATCTTGAAACATGAGGTTCTTCAAATCCAGGACACATACAATCTCTGGTTCTGTAAATTTAATATTTTAAGTCAGAATGGGCTTTCACCTTTGGATATAGCTGGTGGTTTCCTTTTTCTCTTGATATATTTTTTCCTTCTCAGCTTCTGGTCTCCAGTTCTTTATTAGCCAATTTTTTGTTTGCAAAAAATACAGAAAATGCTTTTGATTGCTGACCTTTTTACTTAGAAGTCACGTGAGTCTAAGCTTTTACTCAAAAAACTTGTGACCTGAGCGGGGAGGGTGTATAGCTCAGTGGTAGAGTATATGCTTAGGGTGCATGAGGTCATGGGTTCAATCCCTGGTACCTCCATTAAAAAAAAAAAAAATGATAATAAACCTAATTACCTTCCCTCAGAAAAAAAAATATTAAAAAAAACGCAAAAAACTTCTGACCTGAACTTCGTGTACTGAGTTCAGCATGAATGCAAAAAGGCATCCAAATAGGAAAAGAAGAAATATAATTAATTCTCTTTGCAGATTACATGATGTTATATGTAGAAAACCCTAAAGATTCCATACCAAAACAAACAAACAAACAAACCTGCTAAAACTAATAAACAAATTGCAAGATACAAAACAAAATTTAGGATACAAAATCAACATACAAAAGAATCAGTTGCATTTCTATACACTAACAATGAACAATCTGAAAACAAAATTAAGAAAACCCTCCCATTTACAGTAGTATCAAAAAAAAAAATACTTCTAAATAAACTTAACCAAGGAGGCAAAAGGCTTGTACACTGAAAAAAATAGGAAAATAATTTAATTATATGAATGTTTTCCTATTTTGAAAAATGCAAGGTTTTTGTTGTTGTTTGAATTTGTCCATATTTACTCAGCACCAATAAATGGCATGTTCCATGTCAGGAGACACAATCTGAAGCCAGAGAGGGAAGTCCTGCAGCTCTCCAATGCTGCCACCTTTGGCAGGGCAAACCCTGTTCAGTTATTTCAGAGTAAAGTCACTCAGAATGTACAGCACAGTGTAAAGCACTCAGCCTCTAGGGCCAGCTGGACTGGGTCTGAATCCAGGTTATTGGCAATTACTGGCAATGTTTCCTGGAAAGCAACAGTTGACATCCTTTTTATGTTTGTGCTGACGTGCCACATATGAAGGATGCTGCTTGCATGTTCACCCAGCTCCAGAGAAATGTTCTGTTTATAAATGTCAGCACAGCTGATGCAGGCAGAGGGTGAGGGTGCCAGCAGTCACTACATCTCTTCACTCTCTCTAAAGGTAGCACATTGGGAAATCCAATGAATTACAAGCAGTGTTGTTCCAGGAATAACTTCCAACGTATACTCAATTTTTCTCTGACTCACATGCGATATAGTAAGTAGTTAGGAGTCAGAGCTGCGCTGAAAGACAACTGGCCTGGACTTAAAAAAAATACCAATATTATGAAAGACACAAAGGGAAGAACTGTTACAGATTTTAAAAGACTAAAGAATTGTGAAAACTAAATTCAATATATAACTCTTGATTGGATATTAGTTTTTTTAAGTTATAAAGAACATTATTGGATAATTGAGAAATTCTAATACAGAGGATATATTAATATGACATCAATATATAAATTTTTGAGAGTGATAATGTTCTTGTAGTTACATGGAAAGATGTTCTTGTTCTAAGAAGATAGCATGCTTAAATATTTAGTGGTAAAGTATCTTAAGTACAGATTATTTTCAATAAGAACATATGTATATACATTTATGTATATATATAAAAATGTTATCTGTATAATATATATATTTTATATATGTATGTAACTTTTTAAAGAGAGAATGCAATAAAGTAAATGTGGCAAAATGCTAGTAGCCATTGGTGAATTTAGGTAAAAATATATGTATTCATTCTTCTATTTCAGTTTTTCTGCAGGTTTGAAATTTTAAAACATAATAATTAAAAAAAAAAAAAAGAGTGCAAGTGCTATGGAATTGAGACTGGTTTGAATCCTGACCTGCTAACTATAGGCTGTGTGACCTTAAGGAAGATCCCTACCCTTTATTAGTCTCCATTCCTTCTTCTATAGGAAGACTATAATAATATCCCTCTCTCTTAGGGTAGTCATAAAGTTAATTCATAATAATAGCTAATTCATTTGTATTAATTATAGGCTTGGAGCTTTAACTCTTCGTGGGCACATTACTTAGGTTATGCATCACCACTGATCTTAGTGGGTTACGCCAGTGTGGGGTAGAATGCCTCCTACAGAAAGCAGCCCGCACGCTCCTTCACAGTTGCCAGGCTAATTTTAAAACTATGTATTTTTTATCCCCTTAGGAGGCTTACAGACTGCTAAAGGCGTCCCTGAAGTCTCAGGTCATCAGTTATGGTGACTATAGTGAAAAAGTGGCTGAAACTTTTTTTAACATGGGCAGGATCTGCTTTGCCAAAGGAGAGCTCAGAAAGGCAATTCAGCTGCTAAGGAAGGTGAATACCGGCTTGTATTGTTACATTTGCTCCTGGGCCTGTAAACACAGTGTGAGAAGAGCTGTGTGTGTGTGTGTGTGTGTGTGTGTGTGTATTGATGGATGGATAGGTGGATGGATGGATGGATGGATGGGTGGATGGATGGGTGATGTATGTGTATGTTTTCCCTTCCTTTCCCTTTCTCTTTCCTTCCTTCTCTCTTTTTTCCTTTTTTTAAAAAGTGTTCTCTTTTGAAAGCTCTTCACATTCTTAGATGTGCTGAGGGAGAACACGGCTACAGAAATTTTTGTTGTGTCCATGCCTGGACCAGTCTTAAGAGGGAAACATCCTAATCCTGGAATCGTGGTGTGGCAGTGGCAGAGTCTTGTGAAAGCACCCAAGGACAAGGAACACCTTGTATAACTATCCTTACCCAAGTACTAGGTCCCCTTTCAAGGAGCTCAGACGACCCTGGAAGTGCACTCCCTAGTAGTAGGACATGGCAAGAGGTGTGAGTGGCAGTTGTTCAATCAGTCAGTGTACTAATAGACCAAGCTAAAGACTTGGTGAGATTGGTAGTGATGTCTCTACATAAAACCCAAATTTGCTCAACATCAGAAGAAAAGTTGGTAAAGATCAACTGATCTTCAAGAGGGTGGAGTCAAAAGCAGTCTACACATGTACATTGGCAAACATCAGGTCTGGAGAGATTTTATCTCATTTCAGGTTAACTAAACGTAATCAGAAAACAAGTATGAAAATAGTAAATAATAGGAGAAAGGGGACTCCATTCTGAAGATTTCAGAGAAAAAGAAAACTTTATGAAAATAAGTTGTAAGGATGAGAATCGCTTCTTCAAGGAAAGCAGGACACATGATGGCAGCTGTGTAATGGGAGAGAAAACTGTAAAATAAGGAGAGAAAATTTTAAAATAAAAGGATGACAATTTGAGGCCAAAAGATGAGGTGAGATTAGTAAGGTTGAATTAGGAAGAAATAAGAAGAAATTTCAGGGAAACAACAAATCTAAAAAAATTCAAACCCACACTGAAAATAGTGAAGAGAGTTTTAACATGTCATAGTGATGCTGAGCCATATTTCCCAAATCTAGAATTGCAACGGAGTCAGTAAAAAACAAAACAAAAATCAAACAGAAAACAGATTCCTGAGTCCCACCCTAGACCATCAAATCAGATGTTCTAACAGTTGTGTCCAGAATCTGTATTTTTAATACTTCTAGAGGTATAATATCCTGTCAGTTTAAAGAATTATTGATTTATATGATAAACTTCAAAAGCCCTCCCATAATTCAGGGGAAAAGGAGAGACAGGTATAGTGAGAAAGTAGTTGATGTGGAGGACAAAGTAGATGTTCAGCCAAAGAATTCTATGTATTTCTGAAGAGGGACTGTAATACTTGGAATAGAACTCATTGAAGATAACTTTTCTGAAGTGAAGAAAGGCCCCAGCAAAAACATTATAAGGGCTTATTACCATGTTCCACACAAAATCAGTGAAAGGAGAGTCCCATCTAGACTTCACCTAGCAATGAATGTTTGGTGGAATGGCTACATCCTCCATCTGGAATAGGGATTCAACGTGGAGATTTAGGATACTGTAAGTGTGGGGAAGGTCTGCATCTTTGATATCAGCTTTTATCCTGAGGGCTTTAGATACGTTCCTACTGCAATGTCCTAGCCCAGAAGAAAGGAGAAGAATAGGAAGATATTCTGATGGTAGAGCTGCCCTTTTGAGTTTGAAATCCATCCTCATGCTGAATATTCAGTAACAATGAGATGTTAGTGATGAAGTTTCTGAAATAGACTATGGTAATGGATGCCACTCTGGGGGCTGGAAACTGCTCCTGGAACTAAAAAGAAAGTAGGAGACCTCAGCAAAACTTGACACTGAGAGGAAGCCCCTTTGGCAGACACAATACAGTAGAAAGAGGGTCATGCAGGCATAATCCTAGTGACGCTTCTGGCTAACTTTTTCTCTTGGGCAGTTCAGGTTTCATGTAAAAGGAATCAGAGTTAGATGTAGTAGGGTGTAGGTGAGAAGATACAGGAAAGACAGTTATTAAACAGTGATGATCTTGTGATGGAATTATTTTTATTGGCATACAAAAAACCTCACATTTTGAAATGTACAATTTGATCAGTTTTGACATCCCTATTCACCTGTGAAACCACAATCAGGATAATGAATATATCGGTCACCCCCAAAAGTTTATTCATGCTTTTTTGTAATTAATCAGTTCTACCCCCTTCCCAGGCAACAACAGATCTGCTTTTTTTTTTTTTTACTATAGATACATTTGCATTTTCTACAATTTTGTGTAAGTGGGATCATATAGTTACATATTTTTGAATGGCTGTTTTACTCAACATAATTATCTTGTGATTCATCCATGTTACTGTGTTTATCAGTGGTTCATTCCTTTTTATTGCTAAGTATTACATTATATGGACACCACAATTTGTTAATCCATTAACCTGATGATGGATATTTGGCTGTTTTCAGCTTGGGTTTATTATAGATAAAACGGCTATAGATGTATGCTTTTTTCCCCTTGGGTAAATATTTAGGAGTAAAATGGCTGAATCAGATGATAGGTGTATGTTTACCTATAGAAGAAACTGCCAGTTTCCCAAAATCTTCTTATCATGTTATATGTTCCCACCAGCAGGGTATGAGAACTCTGTTTCTTCCACTTTCTCACCAATGTTTGGTTTGGCCAGTGTTCTTAGTTTTAGCCATCCTAATAGGTATGCAGTGGTATCTCATTGTGGTTTTAATTTGTGTTTTCCTTGAGCATCTTTTCATATACTTATTTTTCATCTGTATATTTTCTTTGGTGAGGTGTTTGTCCAGACCTTTTGTGCATATTTTATTAGTTTTTTCTTATAATTGACATTTAAAATTGTTAATATATTCCATATACAAGTTCTGTATAAAGTATGATTTGAAAATATTTTTCTCCCAGTGTGTAGTTTGTCTTTTCATTTTCTTAAGTGTCTTTTGAAAAGCAGTTTTAAAATTTAATAAATTTGAATTTATCAGTTAGTTCTTTTGTGAATTTTGCAGTTTTACTTCTTTCATTCTAATTTGTATATTTTTTATTTCATTTTATTGCTTTATTGCACTGGCTAGAATATCTAGTACAGTGTTGAACAGAAGTGGTGAGGACAGGTACCCTTGTCTAGTTCCTCATCTCAGGTGAAAAGAATTTGGTCTTTCATAATTTGGCTTGATGTTAGCTGTAGACTTTTCATAGATCCCTTTATCAGGTTGAGGAAGCTCCCTTGTAATTCTGGTTTGCTGAGAGGTGTTTTTGTTGTTCTGTTTTGTTTTAAACCAGGAATAGATGTTCAATTTTTTAAAACTGGAGGTTGGATATCATACAATTCTTTTTCTGTTCCTGTTGGGATGATCTGTGGTTTTTCTTTATGGATAGTTCCTATCGTTGTGTCTTCAGCTACACTCATTTTGTTCCTCCAATGTCAAAATTGCTATTAATCCCATCCAGAGTCTTTTTCCTATCAGACATTGTAGTTTTCATTTCCAGAAGTTTGATTTGGTTCCTTGAAAACAAGCTATATTTTTTCCATGTCCCCAGTTAACTTTTTTAACACATGGAATAAAGTTACAAGGTTTTTGGTTTTTTGTTTTTGTTTACTTTTCTCTTTTTTTAATGTGCACATTTAAAAAAATTGAAGTGTAGTCAGTTTACAATGTTGTGTCAATTTCTGGTGTACAGTAATTTCAATATACTTCTCTGCTAATTCTAACTAACGTCTTTGTCGGGTCTAGATTGGTTTTGATTGAAGATTTTTCCCATTATGGATCACACTTTTCTATTTTTTGGATGCTTTGTAATCTTTGTTTGGATGCTAGGCATGTATGTTACTTTTCTGGGTGTTGGATATTTTTGTGTTCCTGTAAGTATTCTTGAACTTTGTTCTGGAACTCAGTTCAATTACTTTTTTGTGGAACTCAGTTAAATTACAGTTTGGTCCTTTTTGGTCTTGTTTTTCAGGTTTGTTAGATGGGACTAGTGCAGCATTTAGTCATGGGCCAATTATCCCCTACTACTGAAGCAAAGGTCTCAGTACCTCTGAGTACCCCACCCAAAGCTCCACAACAATGAGGCTTTCCAGTTTGGCTGGTGAGACCAGGGACTGTATCTGGCTCTGTGTAAACACCGAGCACTGTTCCCTCCAGTACCTTCAGGTGATTCTTTCCTCAAGCCTTGGGCAGTTTTTGTTCATGTTTGTGTTAATCAGTACTCTGCTGAATACAGTTGTCCTCAGTATCTGCAGGGGATTGGTTCCAGGACCAACTCCCCTGACCCCCTGCCAACACCAGATCTGCAGATGCTGAAGTCTCTAGTATAAAATGCTACAGTACAGTTGGCTTTCTGTATCCACAGGTTTCCACACTGAAGGCCAACTGTACTTGAAGGGGACGCACTGCAGATATAGATATTCCTGTTCTTTTGCTGTGCAGCTGTCTCCTCTCTGTTACTAAGGCCTGAGAGTTTCCTGAGGCTCTCAGATCCATATCCTCAATTCAGGGAGTCTGCTGAGCTCCACTTCCCTGCATCACAGCCTGGAGATGCTCTCAAAGCAGTAACCAGGGGCAATCATAGCGTTTATTTCCCTTGATTTTCCTCTCTCAGTGAACATTGTCCTTTGTTGCCTGATGGTCAGTGTCTTGAAGATTATTTCAAATATATTTTGCCTGCTTTTTCTTTTTTGGTTGTTTCAGGTGGGAGGGTAAATCTGGTGCCTATCATTCCACCTTGACTGGAAAGAGAGGTCAGCAGTAGAACTGAAAACAGAAAACTGCCTACGAGTAAACTGATGTGGCATGAGAATGCACTGCAAATTTGGTACACGTACACTGATTTCACTCATATCCATCCATTTGGTTACAGTTATTTGGAAAATCCTGATGGAAACTAGTACTGCAGCTGTGTTTTCAACAGGAATGCTGTCAATTCCCAGCCCTTAATTTGGTTACCCACAGCCACGTGTGGTAGCGGAAGCTTCATTGCAGTGGAGTGACAGACGTACAGCACGAGGGCGACAGAGCCTTCAATTCAGACTCCTTTCTCCTTGGTGGGGAACCGGGAGGAAATGTCAGTGTAGCACAGGCACGAGAATTGTAAATCTGTGACATCTCGGGTCCATAGGTGCTCTCCTGAGTTTGGTTTGTAATTAAGGGCCTTGCTATCTGGTTTTCTTTAACCTGTTTTGTTTCTCAACTCACCTACAGTGTCTGATGATTCAGATCGTTATACATGGAACTGAGCACAGTAAAAGCAGAGATACAGAAAACCTCCTTACCCTACTGCAGAGGTGAGTTCTGACTCTGGTCACCAACCAGGTTATCAGTGTGGATATGCGGGCAGCATGGCCTCTCCCAGATGCATTCATTTAGGGGTGATTCACCTCTGCTGTTCTTGCTAGTGAGGCTAAACACCAACTTGTACTATGGATTTGGCCAAATCCTGCACTGGAGATACCTAGTCAATCTCTAGTAGTCTCTCAGAACCCAATAGAGGTCTGCTGAAACAATATTTAGTACTTATATCTCTTTCAATGCTGAGCATTATAACCGAATCCTTCAAGGCAGTGTCTCGGGTAACAGCCTGTGATATAATATAGATTTATAACAAAGTAAGTGAACACAGTAAATTTATTTTTCTGCTGAATATACAAAAGCTAAGTCCCTAAACATATGGCAAACTTTGGGGAGAAATAGTTTCCATAGTTAGCAATAAAAGAGCTTCTTCAGAGTCTTTAAAAAAATGTTAAGAATTTCAGCAAAAGAGAGTGCTCTGTGCAGACCTGCCCTTGTCCTAACCTTGGCACATTATTGCTGTTTGTTCATCTCAGAATAATGTTGATGCTGATCTCTTCTGTCGAGTGTATACTAAATCCCTAAAACCGAGCTAACTCCTACTTATGAAGTGTTTAGTCCCCACAAATATGCTGCATGATAGCTCTTATTTGACAGAAGGGAGCCTGATGTTCTGTATAGGAGAAACTGTCTAAACTCGCTTAGTCTTGGAAGTCTGGCCCCAAGCCAGTGTGACTCTAAAGGCCACAGGCTTTCCCGCTGTAATGAAGAGGGGCATCATCATGGGCTGAGTCAGGACTCTGCATTTCCCGGGAGGTGGCTCAAAACTGCTACTTTCTCACCAGGCTGGACAGGCGGGGGACAAGATGAGCACAGAGAATACATTCAGCCCACCCTGTCCCCACCCGCCTCAATCTGAGTCACACCTAGGGTGGGCCCAGCAGAAGACGGTCTCCTGTTCCATCCTCATCCAGGAGAGCACATTCTCAAGTCTCTCTCTGTGATGCCCACGGTAGGAGGTATATGGGGAACTCTGCTCCCTGCCTACTGGCAAACATGAAAGCGTATTTTCTTACTCAATAACCATGACAATATTAATGGTAACTATAATGTAGAACTCCTTCCAGTTCCCTGGCACTTTACAGCACATATACTACTTCTGACTCACAAATAACATTATTTGGTAGGTGTTCTTATCTTTCATGTTCAGGTGATGAAACAGAGACTCAGAAAGGTTAAGTATCTTGTTTAACATCTAGCTGGTAAGTGTGATAAATCTGATCCCAGATCTGTCATAGTTTAAAAATGCACTGCTTTTCACGATATAATAGGGATTCTGACATTGGTGAATTTGAGAACTTTTATAGGGACACCTGTCAGCAGGCAGGTCCCCAGCGCCTCATCTGACATACAGGGGAACTCAGGACTAACATGTTCAAGTCAGATTACCCAAGAGGAGGCAGAGCTGGGACTTGAACCCAGGGCTCCCTAACTCCAGAATGTGCTTGCTATAGGCTACGCAGCTTACCCTCTGAAGGCAGACTGTGGATTTTAAATCAGGCTCCAACACTCAGCTCTCTGACTGAGGTGAAGTTCCCTTAACCTCCCTAAGCCTCTGTTTATTCATCAGTAAAATAACAGGACCTTCCTCAAAAAGTGGGTTTTCTGAGAATTAATGAGCGTACATACACATTAGATCAGGGCCTGGCAGGTCTTCTGTACTCAGTGAATGTTGGCATAAGAATAAAATAACAGAAAGACTTATCTTTCTGAGATGCTGGAGGTAATAGGCCAGAATGTTTAGATAAGAAGCTCTGTATATCACCCCGACTATTATTATTTTATATTAAGAGTGATGGGTAAAAAGTATGTATTGCTGGAGTCAGCCCTGTCATCTTAACCTACCTCTGCCACTTACTAAATATGTGACCTTGGGAAAATCACTTAACCTCTGAGTCTTGGTTTCTTCATCACTAAAATGCAGACAAATAGTGTATCACATGGAGTTTTTGTGAGTTTTAAATAAAATAATGTATATAACATGCATAGGACCATGCCTGGCAGAGTACTCAAAAAATGCTAGCAAAACACCCTTCCTGCCCTCTTCTGCAGCACATGGCCCTTTGCTTCCAGGGCAGCAGGTCAGAATATTTGAAATCAGGGATAATTGTTAGGCAATATTACAGTATGTTTGTTCGAGAATTAGATTGAGAATTTGAATCTCTGAATACATCTAAAGTACATTTTGTACTCTGAAGGTAATAGCAGTGAAACTAAAAGAACAAAACATGTAATTTCAGACAAGAAATGCATGCTTCCTCAAAAGTGGAACAAAATTTCCACTCAGCTTGTATTTAAAAGAGACACTTCAGAATAGCTGGAGTGTATCCATTTCCTCAGTAGCCTGAGGCTGCTTTTCCCTCTCAGTCTTTTACTGTTCCTTGTTCCTGATTTGAAAAGAATCGGGGAAGAAAGAGAGGAGTTGGGAGACGCTGGCATAACCCAGTTCAGACCCTGGGTCGTGGGAGTTTCTTCTGGTTCTCGGAGACGTCCTTCTCTCTGTAAATGGCAGTGAGACCTAGACCTGCCAAGGAAGTACGCGTAAGGGGAAGAGTTTTGATGAGACTCTGCTGTAGAAGTTGAGTCACTAAAGGTTTTCCTTTCCCTGAAACTAGTCCTTACCTTATCCCTCAGCAACTGCCAAAGCCCGGATGTTAAAAAACAAACAAACAAACAAAAAAATACTCCCAAACCCACAAAAAACCCAGTACAAAAGTTGTCCTCTTTGCTGGAGCATCTCACTGGAATAATCAGTCCCAGATGTCCTGGAACTCTGCTGGCTGCCCGACGTGCTCTCGTGCTTCCTACCCCGCCTCCTCCAGAAACCCAGTGACAACACTCCCTGGACGTTCAGTGCCAGAAGCCCCAATTCTTGCCTTTAGCTCTCCACCCTAGGGTCTCCCTGAAGGGGAACAGAGGCTGCTAAGCCACACAGAGCCAGCTCAGGGCACCTTGTCTTTAGCAGAGCAGTGGGTGGGGGGACTCTATAATCAACAGCCTCTCTGCCGTGCCCGCAAAATGTATCGATAGGAGGGAACAGCACGGAATAGTGCAAGGAGAGCAAGTATATTTCATCTCACGGGCCCGCTCTGTTAGTGGTTTCCTTCAGTGATGCTTGAGTTTCCAGAGCAAAAGCCTGGGCTTGGTGGAGCCTGACTTATTAGTACTGTCTGCCGTGGGTAGGGTGGGGAAGTAGTTAAATTCTGCCATGAATTTGCTATTCAGGCATAGTGCAAAGGGCAGGATACTTGGAGTCAAGGCACCTGTGTGTGAGTCCCAATTCTGCTATGATGTAGCTATGTGACCATAAGTTGCTTACCATTCTGAGCCTCTCTTTCCTCATCTTCAACATTCCTTCAACAAATTTATCTGGTGAGCACCTACTAAGTGCTAGGTAGTTAGAGCTGCAGGTGGTAATAAAATAAGATAAACAAACATGGTCATTACTCTTAAGGGGACCACAATCTAGTGCAAGAGACCAACATGAAAAATAATGAAAATGTGAAATGTAAGTTCTGTAGAAGTCTCAGTGCAGTAAAAGCAGAAAGGAGAGAAAACCTAAGAATGCTGGGGAAGACTTCACAGAGAAGGTTACACTTGAGTTGTTTCTTGAAGGGTGAGTAACGGTTCATCCAGATGGAGAAGAGAGGCCATTCCAGGAAGATACTCTCTATGCAAAGGCACAGGCGCGTGACGGGGGCAGCGTATGGAAGGAATGGTAAGTGGTCTCTGGCTGCTGGATGGGGTAGCGTTTCCTAACAGGTATTGCAATCAATGCTGATTTCAAGGGATGGAGGAATGAGAAAGACTCTGTGGCAGAACTCAATTCAGGGAAAAAAAAATAGATTAAACGAAGTGACACAGGCTGATTTCCTGAGACTTCTCAGGACTTTTTTTTTTTTTTGTAGCAGGAGGTAATTAAGTGTATTCATTTTTTTAGTGGAGGTACTGGGGATTGAACCCATGACCTCATGAATGCTAAGCACATGCTCTACCACTGAACTACACCCTGCCCTCATCAGGACTTTTTAGATACTAAACCTCCCTATTGGCATGTTGGAAACAAATTAGTTTTTTAAAAGCCACTGTATTTATATATACTTGAATTCTTTTTGAAATAGTGATTTACATTTTGGCAAATAAAACCTTATACTATCTTTAAAGCCAAAGAGAAAATACCTTAGGCTTGGTTTTCTTTAAAGCAAAAAGAATATACAGCACATGCCTGAACCGAGGATACAAGAACACTTTTGTAGTTTGGTAAAGAATGTGAGCCCCACTTTAGGACATAATAAATTCTTCATGAGCAATGACTATCTCACCAATGAACTATTTTATCTGATCATGGAAACATGACGTCAACACGTCCTTATGAACTACTTTTTCTTTATGATTCATGGAGGTTAAGAGCTCTGGGTCTGCAGACAGACAAGCCTGGGCTCAAACCCCAGAACCACCGCTCCTGGCTGTGTGTCATCCTGGTCTCGTCCACAGGATGGGGATGAGAACAGTACTTATCTCTTAGTGTTGCTGTGACAATAAATGAGATCACGTCTGTAACGTGGTGAGCAGGGTGCCTGGCCCCACAGTAACAGGTAATAAATAACAGCTATTTTTATTTGTACTGAAACCTCGGCTTTCACTATTACCTTCTAGCTGCACCATTGGCAGTGAAGCCAGATGAGACAGGGGCTAGTAACTGTGAAAAGCGACCACTCCGCTGGTGTGGGGAAAACATTTCCTGGTTAACATCTCAAAAGTGTGCTAGAGCTTCTCACCCTGTGGAAGGACAGTGTTATAGACAAGACAGTCCGATACAGTTACATAAATCCCAAGAAGATGATACACACACCGTGGAACTCACGTCCTTCCAGGGGCCTGAGGACTTCAGGCTGGGGAGCCGCCACCTTGTGGTGGGCAAGCAGGCTGACTTCTAGCTGGTCCCTGGCAGACATCCCTCAGATCTTTGCCCACCCCTGATTTCATGAGACCCCTGGGCAAATGACTTAATTTGTTTCTATTTTTCCTTCAAATGTGGAATCATATTATCTCTTGGTTTACTGACAAGGAAGTTAAAGTGCCAGATAGCTTTCTGTATTTTATATGGCCCAGTAGTAGACGGAGGATTAATCAGTCTTTGGTGGGATTTGCATATAAAAAAAACCTCAAGTTGCCCATAAAATTTTGTATCTCATGTTTCTGTGGAACAAAAAAAATTTTTTCCAGGCAAACAGGGGCTATGAAAACCACACTTGTTGCGGGCTTGAGGTCTAAATGGGAGGTAACTGAAGAACACTTAATAGAAACCGGGTTTCTGGATCACATTCTTTTGGACCAGATTACCTCTAACGCCAGCCCAACCTCTCCAGTATTACGAAACCAGAGAATGGAACTCTTAATGGCTGGAAACAGGGAAGATAAATCCTCTTTTTAGGACTTTATAGTGCCTCTGGGCTCTAAATCTCTCTGCTCGTGAGAAATCACCTGAAAATCACAAACCGTATAAAAGGCCCCAAATTAGATAAATTTTTTTAGCTGTGGTTAAAAGCAATCCAGGTATCCTTGGCCTCCCTGCTCTTTAGGGAGAAAACCCAAGACTCTAGTACCATTTTGGAGGGCTACTAGAGGAGTCACATTTTAGGGGGATGGTCACATGGGGAAATAGCTGCCTCAGTCTTGAGTTTAGCCTTCCGGCTTAATAAGGCAGTGATTTAGGGCTAGAAGGAGGAAGAGAAGGCTCGAACCCACAAATGCACAAATGGTTTTCTCCTTTTCTCTAGGTCTTCTGTTATCAGTAAAGAGAAAACCTCTATACAAGATAGCCAACAATAAAGCCAAATTTGTTGATAACAAAAATTCTGTACCACAAAATATATTCACCAACACTCACAGCAGTGACAAATCGGAAGCAGAACCAAGAATTCTGGGGGGAACAGGTCCACTCAGCAGCAGCATTACAGGTAAAAGACCCGAGAGCCATTAGAAACCAAGATCCCGTTACCTGAGAGGAAGAAATCTTTTAGGCACGTGCGTTAAGTTAGTCTCTCATGCCACTGGGACTCCCTTTACCCTCCATTTCCCTTCTTCTAACTCCGATTCCATTCTTTTCAATTCTGACCTTTTAGAAAAATTCTGCAATGCCTAAGTAGTTTATTGGTGAACATTTTAATATACTACTTGTAAGTATCTTTAGTCATAACCTGTTAGAGTTCACTACAACTGCTTTGTGAGGAAATGTCTGATCTGGTGAAACACTGGCCTTATCTGGCTTACTGAAGTCATGCGTGTTAGAGTCAGAAAGGCCTGTTTGATTCTTGTAAGTGAAGAAACCAGGGACAAGAGGAACTGATCTACTCAAGGTCAGCCTGGTGATAATAAAGCAGACCTCCCGAATCCCGGACAGTTACTTTCCATCCCCCCATGCCATCCCCACCAAACCGGACGATAAAGGCTTTTTTAGGAGAGGAACGCTCATGCTCGCTGAGGCTGTTAAATCCTGAGGCCCTGAACAAGTGTGTATCTAGGAAACTGACAATCTTGAATTATATTCCTCCTTTTCCTCTTTGTATATTCAGGGACAGAGGAGAAATCAGATTCAAGTTTGCACTTTTAGTTTTCCTTTTCATCGTTCCTCAGTTACCTGAGCTCATTTAACGAAGCTCAAAGACCTATCTTTGGAGAGCCAAGTGTGTCTCTGACACTCAGTGCTTCTAGAACCACATTTTGGTTCTTGATTCAGGAAGTTCTTTTTTCATTTCAGTCATTTGTTCAGTTTGTAAAATCTAAACATCAACCAGTACCCGAGGTGTAGCAGCGAGCAGGGCTCCGCATATTACCAATTAATCCAGCGGTTGGCCCGCAGACTTCCTCCCCGCAGCTGCCGCTCTCCCTTAGCTGACTCGCAGAGCACTTTAAGCACGGCACTCAGGACCAGGGTCTCGGGCTTCGGCCCTGGCTGAAGGCTGCGGTATGCCGCTGACCTTCTCTGCAGTGTGTGTGAACCGGTCACCCCGTCTGGAGATGGGACTGCTGTTCTTGCCCAGAATATTCTAAATTGACCAAAGCAGCCTCAGAAGACTTGCTTTCATTTTCTCATATCCAGTTGAAAAGAGATTTTCAACAATGACTGTGATAAAAACAAAGTATCAGAAAGAAGTGGTCATTCAGACTCTGTCTTGGGTGGCCCTAAAATTTTAAAAATTTTATGATTTTGTGAGACCCCAAAATCTTGAGATCTCCAAACCGACAAACCTGTATCAAGAAAACAATAGCATAAAGTATAACATAGTAAAATAAAATGTTATGGTGTAACCCTGTTATTTCACTTGCAATTATTTTTAGTATTTCCAGTTCTTCTTTATTGATAGTATAGTTGCTAAGTAAGCTAACATTGCTATAAAGTTGTCTGAGGTTTTGATGTTAAAATGTCTTATGAAACAGCAGTGAGAATGAATGGTAGTTATAGTTTTAATATCCTCATATCTGACAAAATAGAAAGTTACTACTTATGTTGGTCTCAAAAGTTTAAAAATTTGACTATTTTGTAAAGTTCCCAAGTTTTATGAAACCACATTGAAAAGTTCAGGACAATACGACTTAATATGAAGCTTCACTCTTGGAAAACTGTAGACGAGAACTAAGCTGCTTTCTAAATCATTCAGTGGGAAGCAGCAATCTGGGTATCAATCCAATCAAACACCTGATGTTTCCAGCAGACATAGCTACCAAGGTCATCCCCACTTTCAAATTCTTTTAAATTAGCTATTGTCCACTGAAATTTCTGAGGTGGATGAGGGTTGGCTATTTTCTTTCAATCCCTATATACCACGTTAGAAAAAAATCAAGCCCAGATCAAACTGTCCCAAATTTGAATGAGCACTCATTAGTGAGCGCGCAGGACATCTATGCGGCCTGTTCTGCAGGCTTAGTGAAGCCTCAGGTCTCTGTCCTGGCTGCTCACCCACCACTTTCCATGAAAGGTCCACTGAAGGCAAACCTGACAATATTCCAGAGATGGGACTGCCCTAATCCAGTCAGCAAATGCTTGGGCAAAATGGCAGGAAGACAGACCACTTAGGGGTTAAGTCTCAGGCACCAGGCCTAAGGGTACAGGCTACTGGCCTCACTAGGTGCTTATATCCTTTCCATGCAAGGATGGGAAACTAACTACTCTGAAATAATTTAGTTCACATATCCTGAATAGCTCTAGTTTTACCAGTGAAAGCCACTACTCTATTATACTGATCGGTGAGCTATTAATTTCAAAAAGAAAACCTTCAAACATTTGCTCTGCTAGTTATCAAAACCTCTGGTGGTGACGGAGATATGGATGCCAGACACACTTGTAACGGTGCTGTGGCACTTCTGATTAGAGCACTGGCTGTCCGCTGCTGGAGCGGGAAACCCCTGTGAAAGCTGCCAGCTGCCGCAGGGATGTGTGTAACCTGACGTGCGTATAAAAACACTACTCACGCACGGTTGGGGGAAGAGAAAATACTATATAATGTCCCCAGTTTCGCAGGACCCACAGATTTTATTTCAGGTGGGGACAAGGGCCAGCAGTGTGAAGACAGGGGGAGAAGGGAGACTACACGTTCGGAAACCCCCCTGCCCTAAACTGTAGCGAACGCCCATGCTGCCCTTTTGGCACCTGTCACTGATTCTTCACAGCACTACTTAATTCTTACGAAAATGATTGTATTACAAGACTTATTTTGATTAGAACAGGAGAATTTAACAAGTCATTTTATTTTTATTTATTTTGAATCATCTCATTAATTCTAAGTGGAAGTACCTCATCATCAAGAAGGGAGTAAACTAATTAAAAACGAAAAAAGATTACCTACCCAGTCGTGGTAAGCACAAATTTACTGGAAAGAATATGAGATAAACTTCAAAACGGCAAAGCAAAATCTTAAAAATAAGATTGTAGTCTTCTCTGTGACACAGGAAATGAACTTAGCCTGGGGAAGTGCTCCCCCTAGTGGTCTGACCTTTCATAGGCACTTGAACAAAACCCAGCGAATTCCTAGGTCAAATAGGATGGCACATAAATAGAAAACTTTATTAAATCATACCTTGATGTTAGGGAGACTTAGAAAGAATTAAATTCATTAGCTTCTGAATTATAAATAACTCAAGATATGTGCAGCTAAAACAAGTCTTAAATGTGCAAAAATGTCAGTCAAATCGATACATATTTTAAATTCTTCATAGGTTCAGCTCTTAAGAAATACAAAATTCAAAATAAATTCATAACTAAATAATTGGAATAAAATAGTGAATAATAATCTGTAAGTAGAGGTTCTTTCATCTAACAAATATTTTTTGTATCCTAGGCACTGTTCTAGGTACCAGACATACCAATGAACAAAAACCAAAAATAACTGCCCTATTTTAAATTTAAAGAAAAATGTAGTCCTTGAAATGTTTACTGATTAAATATTTTCATAATTGTTTTAGATTTGTTCTGTTCTTAGTGTTTATTTAGGCAAAAAAAGAAATCTGACATTTAGTAGATTCGATCATTTCCTCCTTAAACACATACTCTACAAAACTCCAGTCTCTTTTGTACTTGCTGGGCATCCTGAGATTGCCTGGGAAACTTACTAGTTATCAGGTACTCAACCTGGGCGAGATACCCAGAACTGCTCGAGTTGGACGCATGCCTGGGGGCAGCGCCTGCATCTGTTGTGGGGGAGCTTTTCCCTCAGTGCTTGGCTGAAATACTCTCCAAAGGCCAACAGTGCCTGCCCACTGAGACACACTGAGCTGTTGTCACCTGGTACAGAAACTTCATTTTAGTTACGTATTTTTTTCTACTAGAAAAAAGGTAGATAATTTTAGCATTATATTTTATCAAATATCTGCACACCACAAACATTATTTCATTGAAAACTATCCAAGAAAGTGTAAAAACAGTAACTGGTTTTGTACACCTTAGTTTGGTTGAGAAACTTCTATAGGCAAACAGAAGGTATCTAATAAGTATTTACTACACTGAACAGTTTTCAGAACAAGATGAAAATCTAACTCTGAAGACTATGTTATATCTTGTACATAGATGTCTTCAAAATACACACTTCAAAAATAAATCATATAATTATCCAGACTTGTTTGGTGATGCCTAAGTTTCCTAACATTTGTGAAGAAATCACATGTAAAAGTAGTCACTTCAATGCAATTAAATGCTATTTTTAAAAACGGATTCTTTAAAACAGTGGTTCTCAAACTTTAGCATCCATCAGAATCTCCAGGAGGGAAGTTTTTTAAACTACAGATTGCTGGCCTGCCCCTAGAGATCCTGACAAGTTTCCAGGTGATCTAGGCACTTTGAGAACCACTGCCCTAAGATAGATTCTCCAGAATTCCAACTAATAAGCAATGCCCCTTTGCCATTGCTTTCTCTAACAGTAAATACATAAAAGAACATTTCAGATATGGCTTCATCAAACTTTAAATTTTTAGACTCTTGGAAGGTCCAATGTAAATAGAATAAAACATAAAACTTCCTCATCTTGGCCCTTAACGATTCCCATGAGTTCAAGAGACAGAACCACAGGGCAGTCCAGGACTGGATAAACCTGTGACCACATGAAAACATTACTTACAAAATACAACTGTTAGGGGACAGGGACTTTGCTCCAGTCTCTTCCAGGCTTCTTTGCCTTAGAAAATCCAGTAAGAAATCATGAAGAGCACCACACTCAGAGCAGGAACACGACCTATCAGGAACGTGTATGTAAACACACACATGGAACGGCCAGACTTAAGACTCAGACTCAGGAACTTCTTCATCAGGACAGCAGTAATATTCCACAAAACATATCTGTCCGTCTTCATTTCTAATCATATACTGTAATGAGAGGAATCCTCGGTTATCTGTGCGAATAGACACCTTACAAGACAGGACTAATGCCTTTGTAGAGGGCTTCAGTAAAGAAATCTTGTATCTGTAGAAGAATAAATAAAAGGCTGTTATTTGGACACACTTTAAGCAGTGCTCATAATTCCAAAGAAAGGACAAAAATTAGCCAACAACTACCAAGTAGCAAATATAAGAATAAAATCAAATCCTTGTCTAATTTACTAGTATTTTCTCATTTTAAAAATTTCATCCCTTATTACAATCCAAAATCCCCAAGTAAACCAGCAACCTACTGTTTACTGATTGATTGGTTGATTGATTGACTGAATTATAATCAGTTTACAATGTTGTGTCTATTTCTGGTCCACTATTTACTTTTTAAATGCTACACTTTTATCAACACATTGAAAGTTTTAAAAAATTTAACAGAAATGTGGTAGTTAACCTCCCCTTCATCACCAATGACAGCCTTTATAGTAAGAACTGACCTGTTGACCTGGGTCTGAGTACACTGAAATGATTCCATCAAATCAGAATCTTTGGGATAGTCAAGGTGTGAGCTTCCTGCATTCCCAAAAGTAGATAACCTGTAGTAGAAAACGAGCAACTCATTTATTCATTGGTCCAACAATAAGCCACATTAGAATCCAAATAAAGACAACACTTGCTTAATAAAGCTCATTCTGTTGAATGAAACAGGTATGAAACACATGCTGAAAATGCACTGTAACAATTACATAATGAAGATACCTGTAGGATGCTGTGGGAGTATAGGAGAGCTGGCAACTAGTAAACAGCTTTGAAAAAAATCAGTCACAAATGGAATTGGTGAGGGGTGGGCTGCTTCAATTTCATTACCTTAATTCTTCTCTGACATTGTCCTTTCCTCACCCTTAAATGAGAAGTATGTAACAGGAGAGCTGACGAGTGACGAAGACCCTGGTCTAAGTCAGCTGCCAGCCTGGGGTCCTGTTCCCTATCTTTACTGCCACACTAAGCAGTTACGGCTTTTCTGTATCCCAGACTGCAATCAGGCTGTTTTATGGTTTTCCTCACTTGGTAATACCAGCAGTTTGTAGGCAATTTATAAATGTTTGTATGTTTACTTAACGTGCAAGCACTCACCACTTGCTATAGGGGTAAGAGGCAGATGAGCACTCGACTCGCACAAGAGAGAAGACCTCTGTGCTTGATTTCCCCTAGGACCCATCTTTTCTCTCTTACAACGTAACCTATTTCTCTGAGCCAAGTCGTCCATGCCCAGCCATGACGATGGTTCCCAAATCTAAATTTCTGGGCTAGACTCTCTCCTGAGCTCTAGATCTGTATGTCCAGCTACTGCCTAGTGTCACAGGTGCCTCACATTTAACACATCCAGAAACAGTATTTCAACTTCCAGTTCCCCACCACCAGTTTCCCACAGGGGAGATGACAGATACCATGACCCAACTGGTTACCCATGCTGAGATCTTTAATATGGGGATCCTCTGGAACACTCTTGTTTCAGTGAATCTTAATTCATATCACTGCTTAAGCAGGGTTCCGTTGATTTCTATTTTTGGTTAACATTTTAACCAATCTTGAGCCAAATTTTTAACTGCCTAAGCCATGAGAAGGGCCTGCCGTTCTTCCATAGCACATACAAAAAGAACAGTTACACCTCTCATATCATGTGTATTTAACTTCCTACTCTTTAATATTATGAAATATTTCAAAAGAGAAGAAATATTTAAATTCTCTCTCCAAATTGATTCTAATCCTGAAAAGAGTTCTGCCCCTTCATAATTTATTGGGCCAAAATATGAGAAGCAGCTTGACAGCTTTTAACATTGTATTCCTGCAGAAAACTGCCCTCTCCTAGGATGCTCATCCTGACCATTCCTCCCTAAGGACTCATCTGTTGGTTCCTGAGGGGATCTATGTATATTATTTTAGAATTTGACGGCATGTAATTTTGTTCCCTCTGAGGTGTTTCACATATTTCCTCTTCACCTTGATTTTAAGCTGTTCCTTCCTGTTGTGCTTAATAAGGCAAATATGCACACAGGAGGTGATCAGTAAATACTTAGTGAATGAACCATGTCTAGAAAATACCTACTTCCTTTGGTATTCTGTACTAACTTGAAAGGAAAGAAAGAGATACCATGTAACATGAACACCTTTTCCAAAAGTTTAAGCCCAGTTTTCCTCACGATGCCCCCTGACCCACAATAGTAAGGAGGACAACAATGAAAAGACCACTAGTTTGCGAATTTGGAGACGAGGCTACTCTCCTAGAAACCAACACTACCTGTGAAGCTTTGGAGAGTGAGCTAATCTTTCTGGGTCCTAAGGGTCCTGACCTTAGTATGAGCTAAGGTAAAAGCTCTCTAAAGTTCTCAAGATTCTAATAACCTGGATAATAAAAGGTCTGCATCTTAAGCAAATGTGTAAGTAGGGAGATGGAATCAACTGCTGTCAAGTACCTGAAATAAGGCTTATCTGGAGACATGGTGATCTGTAGGACCTCGCTCGTCATATCCAATTCGGAAAATGCTTCACGGAGCCCCTCTGACTGCAGAATAATTTTATTAATAACATTGGTGCTGCAGAAATCAAAGTCCAGGGTTTCCTCAGGCTCCTGTGTATTGATTTTACAGACTGTCACCACTCCACCTTCTTCCAGAAATAGCATCAAAGGGTAACCGTAGCCTTGGTAACACATCCGAAGTGCAGTTAAAGTCCCTGCGATGGAAAGAAATCACACTTTGGGCCTGGCTTTATAGCTCTGGGTTCAGCTCCTCCTCAAATAATGCAAAAAACTCCCTCCTCAAGAGTATTTTATTCTGTCCAATTTCTAGCATGTATGTATGTAGCTCCTTATCACATCTTCCCTGATGACAGTTGTGTGTCGACAATTCCAAAAATAACTTTAAGAAATTGGGGAACCAGAACAAAATGTAATGTAACTCTTTGAAACTCATTTTCCAGGTTGCCAAAAACCACCTGCGAAATAGCTTGTTGATTCTATATATACAACGTCAGGCTGGACAATCTACGTGGTCCAATACTGTGTGTCATAGAACTGCTGCAGAGTAGGCTCTGCCATGGCTGAAGGTTCAGTTTGTGCAACAGTGGATTGCTTCGATACTGTCTTCCTATAACCTCACTGTATTCACTGTGATAAGGATCCCTCCAACCTTTTCTATTGGGAGACAGTCTTTACATTGCCTCAAATTTTAAGATCTAATTGGGAGAAAAAGAGTGGTTAATGGTGGGCAGGGTTTTACCACTGCAAGCCGTTAGAGAGGAGGAGTAATATGACAGGACCTTCCAGCTCCTGTCTCTTACTGGATGGAGAACCACAGTGAGGAATGAGGGAAGGCAGAGGCTTTTATGAAAAACCAGCTGGGGAACACGGCATTAAAAAAATTTATAATTTTAGCCAATTCTAATAATAATGGAATTGTCAGTACAAAATTAAAGTATATTTTCTAGAGAACCATAACTGAATTTTCCCTAGTAATATCCAGATTCCTTTCCTGTGAAAAAGAAATCATTTGTCTTGGGATTCCTTGTAGTTTTATACCCATAGCAACCAAAGTCACTATTCCTAAAAATACATCAATATTTTAAAGGAAAGCATTTAGGAAAATAAACATAATTTATAAACAGGGCTTAAAGAAAAAAAGCAAACAAATTTTGAACACAGTAAACTGGGAGTCAGGAGAATTGGTTTCCATTTTTCTCTGCCGCCAACTGTAATTCTGGACAAGTCAGAAAAAAGAAGCAATTAAAATATATTTCCCAATGTTAAAGATATTTAAGACATGTTCAAAGTCTTCTTTTGATTAGTTTAAATTTAAAATCTTAAAAGCTTTGTAAATTTAAAAAAATGGATGGTGTAAATACTTTTGCAAATATGAAAAGAACCACAAGCATATGTTCTGTTAATATTATGAAAAATCAGAATCCATGACTGTGGCAAATGAAAAATGAATCAGCAATTAATTTTCTAAAGAAATGTTTATATTACTTATATTCTAATAACTTTTCCTGTATTTTTCTGACCATTCTGTATAATGCTTTTATGTTGTTATAATGATAATAAAATGGTTCACCTGGAGTAGGACTTGATCCAAAAATAGATAAACAGTCTAAGAGGACGGTTAAATTAATTCGAAAAGTAACAGACTCTTCTTGAACTGTAAATTCTTGAAATATTCCAGCCTATGAAAAAAAGTAAATGTGAAAATGTACGTACATGAAAGAATGAAAACTTAACACTAAGGCTCTAGAGTTCCCTTTTAAATGGTTTTAAAATAACAATATTGTGCTAAACCCATTAAAGTAATTTCTGATTACCAATCAAAACATCTTACGCTTTTCCAACTGTGATCCATTAGAACACTACTCAATAGTTAAAGGTGTAAGAGTGATTTCGATTCCATGCCAAACTTTATAAGGATCCTTCATCTAGCTTGGATCTAAACTATCCCCCACGTGACTCTCTTGTCTCCTTTTCGTGCCCATCACTTCAGCTAAAGTCATTTGGAAAATAGCCAAACAATTAGACAATAAATGAGTGATACTGGTTTTCAATTTCTTCTGAGGACAGGAACCATGTCTTAGTTATCCCTCTATACCTAAGGTCATACAGTGCACTTAGGTGTTCCCCAAAAATGCTGAATTAATCTGAAATCCTATCTGAATCATACAAATAATACATTGTAAGAACAAGTAGATTATAACCAATGCAAGGAAAAATTTTTTAATAATAGGGAGATAGTGGGAAAGTGTTATTATGGAAACAAATATTCTGAGGTCTTCATCCCAACTCAGCCACTTGCCAGCTGTAGGACCACTGACAAATCCACTAAAACTGTCTTCGTTTTCACGTATGTAAAGTGGGAATAATAACAGAACCCACCTTGTAAGACTACTGTGATGATTAAATGAATTAAATATATAAACATATAAAACACTCAGCAGAGTGAGTGCCAGACCTATACTTTATTTTTATTTGCAGGGGGAGTTATTATTTTACTATTATTAAGGAATCCACTTCTATGACTTCTATGAAGCCCAGGCTTGGGTAACAGTGGCAAGCCCTGAAGGGAGCTCTACCCTACTCTGGACTTCCTGGTCATAACCACTGTCTTCTCTATCTCAGCTGAAAACCCAAACACAGGAGGCCTCAATCTCTGAACTCCTCCCTCCCGGAAGATGCCAAAGCCAACTATATGAGAGGTTTTATCAAAGGAGAAGACGACCTTATCCTCCCAGAAGACAAACCCTCTACTTTGCTTTATGAGGCAGATAGCAACCCCAAACCACAGACAGGTTGGGACCTGCGCAGGCCTCACACTGGCCTATACATTGGCTTAATATATTTTAGACATTATTATTAACCATTATCTCTGTAAAACAAGATGGGAAAAGAATTCAAATAATGACATTATGTTCTACAACTTAAATGACGTTTGGTAAAACGTTCGGAATTCACTGACCTCGGTGAAGAATATCACATGTCACAGGCTTAAAGCTGCCTTACTTCCGTACCTGAATAAAAGCATTTGCTTGCACACATTTTGCGTTTTCCACTGTCACCTTGATTCCATTCTTAGTAGCGAAACACGTGGCATGTTCTCGGAAATGAATGGCCTTCAAGATAGTGGAGAGATTCCTGACGTTGTCAAGGCTGGCCACTAAACTGTAATCACTCTCATCTGGGATCGGCTGGGTTAGGAGGGGCATGGTCCACGGCGCATTCGGCTCCCGGGGATGCTCCCGGTGCCAACACCCGCGCCCGCGGGTCGCGAAACACCTGAGATTTGACAATAAAACTCCGCGTCAGTGCCGGCGAGGCCCGCGATCTCAACCCGCGCGGAGCCAAGTGCAAAAGGGCTGGACGACGATGGTAGAACCCGGCCGACCAGGGACCGAACTCCACCTCTGCCACGTAACTGTCTAACTCTGGGGGAAACTACTGATGTGTCTAAGCTGCGGTTTCCTCGTCGCTAGTATGGGAATAGTAACACACTAAAGGATGTGAAGGATGAAAATACGCTCCTAACACGGCCATTCACTCGGGCCAGTTCCTCACGCCAAACTGAGGCTACGCATCCCAGGAGACGGCTTGGAGTTGTCCTTTGTCACCAAATTTGCCCCTAACAGAACAGCCGATGGGAGGCAGGCCCCAGTCCTCCCCGACAGCACGGCTCACCAGCCCGCCGCGGGACCGCACGCGTTACTAGTCTCGGGATCCGGAGAGCCCGAGCCCAAACCCTACCTCTACGCCGCGTCCCGGAAACAGCTCCCGGGAAATTGGAGAGAAAGTGGGAGACTCCCGCCACTCTTTTCAGATCGGCCGGCCACCTCCGCCCCCGTCACCACTGAGATAGACGAGGCCTAGAGAGTCGAGCGTGCAGTACCACAGAGACAGGAAACAGGCACCATAGAGCTGTAGGAGGACCGCCGAGCGAAGCCCCGGGACCATAGAGATGGGAATGCGGAGCGAGCGGCAGAGCCGGAAGGAAGGCCCAGAGCGTAGGCGCGCAGCAAGATGGCGGCGACCAAGAGGAAACGGCGTGGAGGCCCAGCGGGTCAGGCAAAAAAGCTAAAAAGAACCGAAAAAGATGCCAAGCCGCCTGCTAAGGCCAGCGACGTAGCAGAGAAGGCGGAAGGGGAAGAGAGAGATCGTATCCCAGGCCCGGTTTGCAAGGTAGAGGGGGCTCTGCGGCCTCGGCTCCACGGGCCTTCTTTGGGACTACCTATCTGATAACGGCTCTGCGGGTTCCCGAGATGCTGGGTTGTTGTGGGAGCTCAGTCTCAGCTCTCCCGGCGGGACCCGTGCTGCGTTTACATCTTCTCCTCGTGCACGTGGCCGCCCTCCTGGAGGCGGTCGGCTGAGCAACTGGCCGGTCGTCAGAGCTCTTACGCGGCTCACAGAGAAGGGAATTAAGGGGACTAGTTCCAGTGTTTCGTCTTCTAGTCGTTCCACGTTTTGTTGGGTGGTTGTTGGAGAGAAGTTCGTTTCCCTAAAGTTACTTCTAGCTATTGACTATACCCCTTCCAGGTATTAATATTCCCATATTCAGCCATAGTTAGCTAAGGTCAGTTAGGGATACTGAAGCTTGTAATGCGGTCCTTTAAAAAGTTGCTGGTCTTGGGACTGTGATTTTGACTTGTTTGATCTTTAACTGTCATGGGATAACGAAAGCTGAAGTAGACAGTATGAGCTTTACTTGTATTCGACAAAGTTTTATCGTGCCAGTCACTGTAAAAGGTTAGGTTTCCCCTGTTTTGGAATTGCAAAACTAGAACTTGATCACTGCCTCTTAAAATGGTTGGCTTTTAGAAGGAAACTACTCATATATAAGTTGATGGTTTTTATTCAAAAGAAGGTGAACCCAAGTTGTTGGATCTTTCATTCAACTGAGAGCTCGTTAAGCTAGATCAAAGACTGTGGAGACAAGAACTGCGTTTGACTAATTTCTGTATCTCCCCAGCTTAGAGTAGATCTCTACTACGTAGTGAGTGATAGATAAATGACCCTTTGTGCTGTGGTGGGGTGGCAAGCACTGGGAAAGGAGTTAGCTCTGAGGAATGAAAGATGAGCTTGAATGCTAGCCCTGCTGTTAATTAATAGGGAAATGTTTTTTGAGCTTTTTTCTGCAAATTAAGAGGAAGAAAATGTGATTTACTTTTTGTGACGAATAAGCTGGACTTCCAGTAGATTTTCAGTGGATGTTACTGCTCTCACTTTTCCCCTTAGGAACTAGAAGGATAGAAATATGATAGTGTTTATGATCTGAGTCATAATATAAAAAATTCTACTTAAGTACAGAAAATGAAGATTGCTTTTACTCTGGGATACCCAAGTAAGAGATCAGGAAGAATTTATGTAGCCTTTGAGCTGCATCCCAAGGTAAGGGCAAAATTCCAATATTCAGAAATGAGAGAGAACAATACAAGGGAGAGAGAGAAAAACAAACAAAACAAAACTGAACAAAGGTGCTGAAGTAGAGGAAATGCTGAAAGTTTAAAAAAATACAGCCAAATTGGCTAAAGTGTGGGGTCGATTTGGGACAATAGTGAGGTAGAAATATAAATATTTTAGAATTCAGTGTTAAGCTGTGTCATTTTGGACCTTGTTTAGAAAAGCCTGGAAGGTAAAGATGTGATTGGAGCAATGCTTTAAAAAGTTAAGCAGGTGCTAGTCTGCTTTACCTACGGTAGGAGCTCCTAGCTGGGAAGACTAAAATTTAGGAGATCGGCAATTGATACGAGATTATAAGAATCTGAAAGAAGGCAGTATCACTAGGAAAGGATTAAGAGTTGTTGAAAAGAAATTGACATTTCCTAGTGCTTATGATATGAGAGGATAAGGGCAAGTGGAAGATTCAGAGCATGGGGGACTGAAATGATGGTGACATCAGAAGTATAAACAGCAGGGAAATTTACTGGATTTTAAGCTTTAGCATTCTAGAGTTGAATTTGAGGTAAGTTAAATTAGGCTAGAAAAAGTTCCTTACCTTTCTATAGAGTTGGCAGTTGAAGCTGTGGAAATGGTTGTGAGAACTGTTCTGGAAAGATCAGAAGTAAAACAGGGCTAAGAACGAATCTTTAGAATCAAGAGAAAGAATTGGAGAGATTAAGGGAAAAAACCGAAAAGATAAGAAAACAAGGAAAGCATTTTTGGCTTGCAAATGGGGTCAGAGAATGCTGCTGAGAGATTGACTTAAAGGTTAAAATCAGGACTGTTTGGCTCGCTACTCGGAAGCTTTATCTTTAAACAAATAAACAAGGTAGCTTCACTATGAGATTTTGAAGTCTTCTTTTTTTTTCCCCTTTAGGGCAAGTGGAAAAATAAGGA